CTTATTATAATACGGCACCTACTATTCAGGGCGCCCCAAAAGGGACCATCATTTTGACAACTACCCATATATGCTGCATCTGCATAAGCCTATTGAAGCTTAGAAGACTTCAGGGCTTCAAGTGGAAGCTTTCGGGCTTCGTGGAAGAAGGGCTTCGGGGCTTAGCATGTTAGGGCTTACGGCCAGGTTAGGGTTTAGGGGGTTTAGGGTTTAGGGTTTAGGGTTTAGGGTTTAGAGGGCAGGGTTTCGGAGGGTTTGGGTTTGGGGCTCAAGGTTTAGTTTAATGACTTCGCGGGCTCTTTCCACCACAGAGAGCATCACCCCAAGCCACGACAGAGCCATCCTCAAGAAGGGCAGCGAAAGCCGTACCAGTGTTTTGGATCTGCTCCACATTCTTCAGCTGATCTTGCACATCGCTGCTGTCGCCACCACATCCAGCATGGCCCCACGTCACGACGGATCCATCAACAAGGATGGCAGCGAAAGCACCGGAGTTGGCTTGGATCTGCTCCACATTCTTCAGCTGGTGCTGCGCACAGGTACTGTCACCACCATAGGCAGCATGACCCCAGGTCACGACAGAACCACTGGGAAGACTTGCTGCAAAAGCGGCGTAAGAAGCTTGAATCTGCTGCACAGACTTTAGCTGATCCTGCACAGCTCTACTGTCAGCACCATAAGGAGCGGAGCCCCAAGTCACGACTGAGCCGTCGACCCGAATTGCAGCAAAACCGCCGTATCTGGATGCGTGGATCTGCCGCACGTTCGCTAGCTGGTCCTGCACATCGCTGCTGTCAGCACCCAAGCGAGCATCACCCCAGGTGACAACGGATCCGTCGCCACGAATCGCGGCAAAGGCACGATCAGAGGCTTGGATCTGACGCACATCAGCCAGCTGATGTTGCACAGCACTGCTGTCACCACCAACGCGAACATCGCCCCAAGTCACGACAGATCCGTCGACGCGAATCGCAGCAAAAGCGCCGTCTCGAGCTACCTGGATTTGCTGCACAGTCTTCAGCTGATCTTGCACACGACTACTGTTACCACCGTTCAAAGGATGACCCCATGTCACCACCGTTGCGTCGTCCAGAATGGCAGCAAAAGAATATTCAGCAGCTTGAATGTGCAGCACATTCTTTAGCTGAGCCTGCACAGCACGAGTGTCACCTCCACTGTTAGCATCACCCCAGCTCACGACAGATCCATCGTCAAGAATGGCAGCGAAAGCATCCCGAGTTGCTTGGATCTGCTGCACATTCTTCAGCTGATCCCGCACTGCACTACTGTCACCACCACTGTGAGCATTACCCCAGGTCACGACAGAGCCGTCGGCCAGAATGGCAGCAAAAGCGCCGTCACTGGCTTGGATATGTTGCACATTCTGCAGCTGATCCTGCACTGCTCTGCTGTCACCACCTTCTTCAGCATCACCCCAGGTCACGACAGAGCCATCGCCAAGAATGGCAGCAAAAGAACTTTTAGAGCCGTGTGATTTAACTTGGCCTATGTGCAGAGTCAGCGCGTCATCGCTCTGCACTGGAGCGTCCTTGATCAGTGCGCACGGATCCAGAAATCTTCCCGATGAGTCCATTAACCGTCCTGTGCCAACCCCGAGTGCAGCCTGTGCTCGAGCTTTCAATGTTCCGACATCTTCGTCGAAGCTGGCTTCCACAGTAGCTGTCTTGCCGCTGAGCAATCCAACTTCCACTGCAATCGACATGTCGTCCGCCGCAACTGCTGTGCAACAACTCTCTGAACCCTGAACCCTACACCCTGTCAACTCTTGCTGGTTCTACGTCCTTACAACTGTCAACCACTAAACCCTGAACCCTAAACTCACTCAGCCCTAAACCCTAAACCAACCCCATATATATATATATATAATATAATATATATATATATATATATATGGTAGTAGTATTGGCCTATGAACCCAAAGCCTTCGAAGCCCTTAGCTAACCCGCCTCGAGCCCAGGCTGAGTTCGACATGAACAGCAACAAGAATCGTAACACGAACACAAGCGCGCACATAGCTTTGGGTTTAGGGTTTAGGGTTTAGGGTTTAGGTTCAAGGGAGCAGGCTTTGTCTGACCCTTCAGAAGCTGTATTCGTTGGGCAGTTCTGTCTAAAACCAAGGCCTTAATCATCAATAGTTACAGTAGGGTTTTGTGGTATATTACTCTATATCTGATTATGCCTGCGATGTTCGTGAACTCGACTATTTGCCCCTAAACCCTAAACCCTAAACCCTAAATACTAAACCCTGGTGACAGAGATCTTGCATTGACTGGGGGAGGGGGGGGGGGGGCATCCTGGGCTCCTAAAGTGCTGCGAGCACATAAGGGATCATAGGTTTAGGGTTTAGGCTTTAGGGTTTAGGGTTTAGAGTTCAGGGTTTAGGGTTTAGGAGCAAGGCCAGTGAGATGGGCTAATGGGATTTGTTAGAGGAGTCGAAGGTGATGCTATGTAGACCCACTACGTCCGAAACCCTTAGAATCCCAAACCCTAAACCAGAAGAGCCGCCAACTAGGGTTTTATACCCGAAACATCCCAGAACCTTATAAAACCTCTGGACAAGCGGACCGGCAAAAACTGCCTTCAACATCCATCGACTGGTTTAGGCGCAGTTTTCTTCAGTTTAGGGTTAAGGGTTAAAGGTTCAGGGAGGGGGCGGGCAATAAAAAGAACGGAGTTTGGTGGAACGTTTAGTCTAAAACTGTGTTCGGACTACAAATGGTATTAGTATTAACTACAGGCTGTTCTTCCAGACCTATACTCCGAAACCGAAACCCCTAAACTCAAAACAGAGATAAAGCCCAAAATCTGTCAGTCCCGGAACAAAAACATACATCCTAAATCCCTAAACTCTAAACCTCTAAACCCTAAAGCCCGGAGCTCCACCTGCAGCGCCGGGAGGAGGTCCAAGATCTTGCCAGGACGAGCTTCGAGCTGACGTTGCGGGTGTGTGTGGCGGTTTAGGGTGGAGGGTTCAGGGTTTCTAGGGTTTATGGGTTTAGGGTTGAGGGTTGAGGGTTTAGGGTTTATAGGGTTTATAGGGTTTTAGGGTTTAGGGTCGTTTAGGGTTGAGGGTTTATAGGGTTTAGGGTCGTTTAGGGTTTAGGATGGTTTAGGGTTTAGGGTTTCGGATGGTTTACGGTTTAGGATGGTTCAGGGTTTAGGGTGTCAGGGTTTGGGTTGAGGGTTTAGGGTTTAGGAAGGTGTCTTTGGCTTTCAGGGTTCCTCTAACGGGTTCCTTCTAGGGCTTCTTTTAAGGCTTCCTTTAAAGGGGCCCTTATAGGAACCCTTTTTGAAGCAGCGGGAGGGTGTTTTTGGCTCTAAGGGTTTCCTGGACCTCAGAAACCTACATGTTTAGGGCTCCTTATTATGGCTTTCTTTTACAAGCTTATTGAAAAGGTAGGTTCTTTGGGGTTAAGGTGAGGCTTACGGTTAGGAGTTGAGGGTTTATGGTTGAAGGTTCGACTTTGGTGCTAGGGTATCGGGCTTAAGGTTTATAAGGGTTAGGGTGTAGGGTTCAGGTGTGTCTTTGACCAAGAACTTCAAAACCAGAATAGTTCAGGGATATACCTCAAATCATATTCGGTATACGAGTAGAAGTTAAGGAATGCTCATGAATAATTCTTCATTGACACATATAGGAAGATCTAGGTGTCTTTGAGAGTTTAGGGGGTTGAGGCCACAAGGAGTTAGGGCGTTTAAGGCTTGAGGGCTTTCGTGTTTATAAGTTTTGGGCTTTAGGGCTCGGGGATTAAAGTTTAGGGGTTTTCGGGTTCAGGGCTTCTTGCCGGGTGATGCGTTTGTTTGAAGGTTCTCACATTCTCCACCCATCCAAACTGTTAAAGGGCTTGTGTTGGTCTTAGAACACGGTTTATAGTGAATATCGACAGGATATTGGCCTGCGCACCTGAACGGCAAACATAGCAGCAGTAATCACATCATCCGACGGACAACACCACCCGAAATTCTACCCTGGCTGACTGCATTCGGTCACGTAGCGTAGGACTCGGGTACCCTTAACGAGACAAAGCCTCCCAAAACTGAGTTCGCTGAAACCTCTAAAGCTCAAAACCGCGATGAATTCTCGACTCGCCCGTCCACAACATCCATTCAGCCAAGTGTTGTGCTTAAATATAGTAAACATGGACTGCTGTGCGTCAAGTGTCGAACTTCGTAGGAACTGTGTCCTGATGACCCGGAACCTTGTATATACTGTTGATGATATACATCCTGCATTACCTTAAGGACCCTAAACTATGGGTAGGGTATATTCATCACTATTGGTAATGCAGGGTTTACATCATCAACCGTACCCCTATAAACCTACTACTGCTAAACCCTAAGCCTAGGCCCCTAAACCCGAAACCTCTAGGCCTCTAAATCCCACACCCTAACCCCTTAAACCCCAAAACGTATTAACATAGGGGCCTTAATAATTAGAATTAGGTTTTTGGGTCCATTATACTATAAATATAATAAGGAACCCCAAAATCGTATTGGTAATTGTTTAAGCCCCTATAGTAGACCCAAAGCCCCATCTGACCCTTACAGAACAATTTAAAGTAACCCTCAGAACCCCTTACAAGTACCCATAAGGGGGTTCCGGTAAGGGCTCGTAAGGGCTCCTTCAAGCTGGTTTCTATAGGGGCTCCTTAAAAGGACCTTTAACAGGAACCACAAAGGAACCCTTAAAGAGGAACCCTAAACGAAACTCTTGAAAGGAGCCCTCAAAAGGAACCCTAAACGAAACTCTTGAAAGGAGCCCTTAAAAGGAACCCTGAACGAAACTCTTGAAAGGAGCCCTTAAAAGGAACCCTAAAAGACTCTTAAAAGTAGCCTTAAAAAGGAACCCGAAAAGAAACCCTTAAAAAGGAGCCCTTAAGAGTAACCCTAATTAAAAGAAACTCTTACAAGGAGCCTTAAAAAGGAACCCTAAAAAAACTCCTAAAAAGAGCCTGAAAAAGGAACGCTAAGAGGAACCCTTTAAAGAAACTCTTAAAAGGAGCCTTTAAAAGGAACCCTAAAAGGAACCCCTAAAGGAACTCTAAAGAAACTACGAAAAGGAGCCTTTAAAAGTAACTCCAAAAGGAACCCCTTAAAGAAACCCAGCCTCCCTCAGCTCCAGAAGCCCAGGGCTGACCCGGGCAGACGCAAAGCACCGAAGACCACGGAACATGACGCAGGCTGCTAGGGTTTAGGGTTTAGGGTTTAGGGTTTAGGGTTTAGGGTTTAGGGTTTAGGGTTTAGGGTTTAGGGTTTAGGGTTTAGGGTTTAGGGTTTAGGGTTTAGGCTATTGTCTAAGGGTCCATGTACCCAAATAGATATACTTTGGCCTCAAAGTAGTCCCTATTTTGGTACTTTAGAGTCAATGTATATACTATTTGGGCACATGGACCCTTGGGGAGTGTCAGGGTTTAGGGTTTAGGGGTGGGTTTTGGGACTATATGCCGTAAAGATGCTGAAATGGTCTCGTTTAAAATATCCTATAAGGGCTCCCATGGGGGGTACTACAGGGGCTTATAAGGCCTTTTATAGGTTTTAGAGTTGGAGGAGCCCGCAAGAGGATTGTAAGTTTAGGGTTAGGGTTCACTGCGTGGGTTCTGCGAACGGAGCAGAGGTCGAGGGATTTGCGGCTGACAACACTCGTCCTGGAGCCTGAATCACTGCGAAGCCTGATCCCTAAGTGGCTGCAAAATTCATAGCTACTAGTTATTAGCAGAACACATGAGGAGAGGGACCGATCCCCAAAACGTCTTACTTGGACCCTAATTCGTTTAGGGTTTGCAAGTTACGAAGCCGTGTAAAGTCGCACAACATAAGGGCCTTCATCGTTCGAACAGGGTCACGGGGCCTTTCAAAGTATAACTATAGGTAGGAATCCTGATGGCCTGAGGAAGAGTATTGATAAATACTCAGGCTTCTCTATTATATGAACAAAGATTTGAGCTGAGCAGCTTCGGCATTCAGGGTTTGGGTTACCTTTAAGGGTTCCTTCAGGGTTTCTATGCACAAAACAGGTCAGCAATGCGGGAGTTCAGGGTTTCTGGTTTGGGGCTTTAGGCTTTAGGGAGTTTAGCTTGGGATATTGAGTGCGGTTTGGTGGTTTAGGGATTTGTCAGGCATCGCCGGGGTTGAGGGCTTGGATCTGGGTTGAGGTTCGGCTAGTGACATGGAGGCCTTGAAACTTTCCTTACTTCATCATTAGTACAGGTTTTTCGGTCTCATTCTAGTTCATAATGTGAGACGATATGGGTATCTTATCACTACATTTTCGGACCACCCCTACGCCCTAAACGATATTTGGAGCACTTAGACTATATAAAAGGGGGCGATGACTTTGGCAGCGCCCTTTGAAAGGTATGTCGACGTAGTCGGCGATCTAGGAAGCTTCACGGCTTATGGTTTAGGGTTTAGGGTTTAAGGTTTAGGGTCTAGGTTTAGGATTTAGGGTTTAGGTGCACCCTCACATCCTACCCCTTGCGCCTCGCAGATAAACGCGTAAACCGTAAGACGAAGGAATAACCCAAGGCCGGCTATCCCCAACGACGCCGAGAAGGGCCTCATCCTAAACCCCAAACCCAAAACCCCAAAACCCTAAATCCCTGAACCCTATACCCCTGAACCCGAAAGCCGCTAAACCCTAAATCCCCAAACCCCTAAATCCTAAACCCTAAACCCCAAAACCCCAAAACCCTAAAGCCCAAA